TATATATATATTCTACCCATTTATTAAGCTTCACTTATAAAGTTATAACCACACAAGAGTTTCTTAATAATTGATCTTTGGATCTTAATTGAGCGTGATCGCTTAAGTGATTGTGAGGATTAATTTATATGAGGACAACCAATAATTTTGTGCTTCACTTTTTTAGTGTTATATTAAAAATTTTATTTCCTTATAATATATTTTTTTTCTAATTTCCATCTCATCATAAATTAATAAAAGAGCCCTACAAATCTAAGGAATAATTAGCCGCAAATTTATTAAATGTGCAAAAAATATATACATCTAACAAATGATAGGTGAATATGCTCTGACATGAATAGTAATTACCTATTTATCCATGATTTGTTAGGTACATATCCCACATCTAGAAAGCTCACACAATTTAATTAGAGGTCAATGATGCCATTGAAAGCATAGATAATTATGAAATTAGCTTAAAAAAAAAGAAAAATCAGAATGAAATTTGGTTGGGTTATGACATCAATTATATTATGTTTATTATTATGCTCATAAGTAAAGACAAATTCATTGTTATACAAATTTGGAACTCCTCAAAATTAAAATGCAAGCTAATATGTCTTTACTCTAATGCAAACAAACTTCCTATACGTGCTTAAATGTCTATGTAGGAGGCTACATAACAAAGAATGATAGCTCCATGCAAGCAAGCAAGCAAGCTAAGTTCTAAGGCTAAAGACAATGAGAAATGCTTGCATCTATTCTTTGTCTTGACATGGTATCAAAACCACTAATTATTATTATTATTATAGATGATAATAAGGTATGGGGAGATAATTTTAAATCATTCATAATTTTTTTAAACAAATTGTTTTAGGTGTAAGATAATTTTTAATATTTTATAAGATTGTTTTTTTAATATGTTTTTTAAGATAATTTTGATGCTTTATAGAACAAATTTTTTATTAAAATGATTTTTATTTTATAAAAATAGAAATAACATGTTCCAAAAGGCTTAGAAATGTTTTATAAAATGTTTAGGGATAGCTTATGTTTGGAATTTATTTCTTTTCAAAGTAAAGCAATTTGTTTTCTTCTTTGTATGTAATTGACAATGGTTTTCACATATAAAAATAGTTTATTCTTTTAATTTATTAATTATTATTCAAATTATAAAAAGAGTGGCAAAAACATACATATTTATCATTATAAATATAAATAAAAAGTAAAAGAAAAAAAAGGCAAAAATCACCAAAAGAGGATCAAGCACAGAAATAAGACATTTATGAATTCCATGCATGCATTTTAAAGAATTGTATTGGATTTCAAGAAGTGATTTTGCTTTTTTTTTTGTGGAAATTATTATCAATTAAAATAAAAAAATTTTGCTTGCTCATTTTTTAAAATAATTCATATGTACATAAACATAAATATAAAGCTAGTACTTCATATTCTAAATTCTGATTATGAGGTCGAATAAAGCATTTGTACGCTTCGATGGTCTGACATAAGAGTTTGTTCAGAGTGGCTGAAGCTTTTTTTTAAATGTAATTGTAAAATTATGGCGGAGAAATTGACTTTTTAGAAAGCTTTGTGGGAATTATTTATATATAATTTCAAAATATAAGGAAACAACTTTCTTATAACCATATAACTTTAACATATTATATTGAAAAAAAACAACTTCTATTGCAGTTACCCAAATAGAACTTTGGTGGCGGTCTGAAATGCGAAGTAGACATAAGACTATCCCAAACGAACCATAAATCTAATAAGTATATAATTTGTATCAAATGAAATATGAATCTATAGATTCCAAGCTATATTATGGCAAAAAAATAAGAAAATAAAACTTAAATGATCTTCATGAATTTCTAAATTAAATAATTGTATATTTAAAATGAAGAGATTATAATAATCATAATTATTAATTAATTAATATTATTTTTTAGATAATAATAATAATAATATTATCTCGGTAACTACCCTAGGGAAAACTAATAAAATATCCTATATTATATTTCCTTCGCCATTTTCTTCTTTCAACTTGTTTTGATCGCTGCTTATCTTTATATATAACATTTGAGTAAAGCATCAAACCAGTCCCTATCTATATAGGATTTTCGTTAGTCTCAGAGTTTATAGAAGTACAAAAATAGTTATCAACTATCTTAAAATTAAACTCTAACAGTCTTCCATGCGAATCATTTCAGCCCCAATTGAAAAAGTCCAAGGACTATTTTGATATATTTTAAAATTCTCAAACTAAATTAGCTCAATAAAAAAAATCCAATACTATTTTTGGTACTTTATTCTATAATATTTTATAGAATACAATTATTATGTTAAAAAAGTAGACCATTAAAAAAAATAAAACAAATTAAAAAAATAGCCTTCAATGCCACATATCCTTTGGATCTCCTTTTCAAGCAGCATTCACATGCAAAATTTTAATAAACAATGAAAAATGAAAAATAAGAAAATCTAAAATAATGGGAAAGATTGAATTAAATTTAATTTCTTGGGACCGTTGGAAGTGAGAGAATTAATTAAATAAATTATTTTATTGTTAAATGTTTAAGTACAGCCGCCTAATCTTATGATTGTCGATTAATTATTATATGCTAACTCATTAGCTTGCTAATCAAGTTTAGTACTACTTTTGGGCGACTAATGATATTTCATAGTCAACTAATCAAGCCCAAGCTAATTCATTTGCAATAGATTAAGTTCTTTAAAATCATACACTAATTAAGTTCATTATTGCTTTATTTATTTACATAATTTGTAAAGAGAAAAGCACCTGCCCTCCATGAAAAAAATATTGCCTAACGTGATCAAATAGAGCAGTCCCAGATAGAGGCATAAACAAGTTGAGGTGGAGTCGTGCTCGAATTGAGCCCCACGAGTATGAACTGGCTCAAGACCGACTTGTTTAGCATGAAGGAGAGAAAATACTATTAATTTAAGCTAGTGTTATATTAAAATGATAAATAAAATGAGCAATTATGAGAGCAATTATTTAACATAAAATATAAAATATGATTTTTTGAATATTTTTAATATTTAAAGTCTTGAAATTTAATATATTTTATTAAATTTCATGTTTATTATTTTCTTAAAAGGGCCGACTCACGAGCTAACGAGTAGAATAGGAGCTAGCTTGAGCTTAGCTTGTAGTTCATTCAACTCGGTTCATGGGCCAGTCATCGGGTGAAACTTGAGCCGAGTCATAAATTAACCTGAATCACTTATACGTCTTAAAGTAATTTTTTACTCCAACACAATTTACCCCCTTTTTTTTGGATTAATTAAAATAGGCCTTAAGAAAGCCTTTTTTCAACCAATGATTTCCAATGCTTTTTGTTTGTTGTTTATCATCATGTTAGACTGAAAAATAGAACATGATTATTTTGAGACATTAAAAAAAAAGACTTTTTACATTAATGCAACTTATTTTTATGTAATTATATATCTAACACCAAAAATTTTAAATTTACATGTATAGGCACATAAAAATATCATAATTATTCATTTTAAAAAATCTATCTTTTTATGTACAAATTATAAGTAAAAGTTAATGAGAAAAAAATTAGCTAAAATTTTCTTTTCTTATATAATTAATAAGAAAAAAAAATTAAAAAACGTATATATATAAATATAGATCCAAGTCATAATAATACGAGCTTTCACATTACATAATCCCAAAGTTTCCCAAAAAAAAAAAAAAAAAAAAAAAAAAAGAGCATTTTTCATTCCCAGCTCCTACCCCGCTCCAGCAAAAAATCACTCTTTTAAAAACAGCCTCCCACCCCTTCTTCTCCAGAACTTCATCTTCTTCCCCACCCCCCCACCTTATCTCCATACATCCCACTCTCTCATCTCATGCCCATATTGCAGAACCTCCTCCTCTTCCTCCCTCCCTCCCTCCTCACCCTCTTCTTCTACCTCTATCTCTTCCTATGGAAGAAGAGATCAAAGCCCACTCTCCACCTTCCCCCCGGCCGACAAGGCCTCCCTTTCCTCGGCGAAACCTTCTCCTACCTCAAACCCCACCCCGCCACCACCATCGGCCAATTCATGCAGGACCACATAACCCGGTATGCGACAAAACAGCAGCAGCAATTTCCTCCATGACTTTTTTCTCTAACATTAGCAACTTAATCAAAATCATGACTTTAATATTGGTTTCTCAGCTACGGGAAGATCTACAGGTCCAACCTTTTTGGTGATCCCACCATCGTTTCTGCAGATGCAGGGCTAAATCGCTTCATCCTGCAGAACGAGGGGCGGCTGTTCGAGTGTAGCTATCCTAAGAGCATCGGAGGCATACTCGGCAAGTGGTCCATGTTGGTGCTCGTCGGAGAGATGCATCAGAGCATGAGGATGATATCTCTCAATTTCATGAGCAGCGCTCGCCTCCGCTCCATCCTCCTCCCTGAGATTGAGAGACAGACTCTCATGGCTATCTCTTCCTGGAAGCAGGATGTCGCCTTCTCTGCTCAGGATGAAGCCAAGAAGGTTATCAAGTTAACTTCTTTTTCCTCCTCTTCTTCTTCTTCCTCTTCTTCTTCTTCCTCTTCTTCTTATATATATAAGTTGCTAATGAAATGATTAACAGATGATTAATGAAACAAAATGGTAATTTGCAGTTTACTTTTAACTTGATGGCGAAGAACATCATGAGCATGGAGCCAGGGGAGATGGAGACTGAGAAGTTGAGGAAAGAGTACATAACATTCATGAAAGGTGTGGTGTCTGCGCCATTGAATCTTCCTGGAACTCCATACTCAAAAGCCTTGAAGGTAAACATAAACCCCAAATAACTTACTAATTATGTTTAACGAAGATGGGATTAATGATGTTGATGATATGGTTATTAATGGAAGTGATTAATGAAGAAGGTTAGTTAGTTGACTGAAACAGTACAAAACATATTTAACAAAGCCATTGAGGGCCTTTTTTTTCTTTTTCTTTTACTGTGCGGTCGCATTCATGGATTCATTGCTCCCATCTGCCTTTATTTTTTTTTTTTCTGATTTATTTAATAAATGGGAAAGCTATTTGCCTCAATTCATCATGAATCATCATTGTGGGCCTCATATCTTATTAATTTCTCCTCTATTTTAGTCTTCTAAGTTCTCCCCACTTTTTTTTTTTTTAAATGAGTATTTTGATTATATTTTTCCTTAGAAATTTAAAAAATATACTATATATGATTATTTTATCGTATCAAATTATGTAAATTATACCTTTTTGCATGAAATGTCATGGCTATAATCATCGAGGTCATTGATGGCCTCCAAATTTGAGAAAATAGTGTTGAATATGCAGACTATGGCATGAATCACACTAATGTAAACATGACCTGATGGGATCTTACATCATCGTACATAAAATTATGATTAAATTTATCTTTTCTAATAGAAACAAGTTAATTAAAATATAAACAATTTAATCTCTTTTTTTACCTTCCCAAAAAAATACTCTTAATTTCTCAACAAAATTTAAAATTATTTGATGTTCTTGCAGTCACGATCGAATATTCTTAGAGTGATTGAGAAGAAGATGGAGGGGAGGAGACATCAAAGAAATGAAGAAAAGGAAGAAGAAGATGACTTGTTGGGATGGGCTTTGAAACAATCTTCTCTGTCAAAAGAACAGATTTTGGATCTTCTTCTGAGTCTGCTTTTTGCAGGCCATGAGACCTCCTCCATGGCTTTGGCTCTCACCATTTTCTTCCTTGGAAGCTGCCCAAAAGCTGTTCAACAACTTAGGGTACTATTATATAGATTTATATATTTATTTTTTAATTTAGTTTTATAATTAATTATTTTTTATTTTATTATATTTTTGCAGGAGGAGCATCTAATTATTGCTGGGAAGAAATTGGAAAAAGGGGAGTCGGTGCTAAACTGGGAGGATTACAAGCAAATGGAGTTTAGTCAGTGTGTAAGCATTCTATATGATTGTTAATTATGATGATTAAGAAGTATTATGTTAAAAAATGAATATTTTTGGCTAATTAATGAGTTATTGTTGACTTAATGAAGGTGATTAATGAGACACTTCGGCTTGGAAATGTAGTGAGGTTTGTCCATAGAAAAGCTATTCAAGATGTGCATTATGGAGGTTGGCTCTCCTTCCTTTCTCCTCCTATAAATTATGAAATAAAAAATAGTTATATTTAAATAAAATAATTTTATTTTATATGTGTATTATTCTTTAATTTGTATAAAGTGAAATATTTCTTTTTTGAGTAAGAGAGTGACAGAAAGGCACAAAACATGAGTGCAATTAATTTGAGCAAAGAAACTTTAATCATTGATTTGTTTCTTTATTAAGAATATTATACATTTATATGATATAATTAATTAGTTTAATCATAATTAATTAATTATTTTTATATTTATTTATTTATTTTGTGTCTCGGCAGGTTATGATATCCCATGTGGATGGAAAGTTCTTCCAGTGTTTGCTGCTGTTCATTTGGATTCAGAGCTTTATAACGAGCCTCATCAATTCAATCCATGGAGGTGGCAGCAGGTAACATAAATTTTAAATGTTATATATATAATATACAAATTATATGGGAAACATTTTCATAACTTTATTTATCATAAACAAATATTATATATTTTTTCAGAAGTGTAAGATTCACTTTGTAATTTCTTATAGCACATGATTTATGCGATTCATCAAAAATGAACTAAATTTATTTTAATTTTAACTCATTCTTTGAACTAATTAGCATATTGAATTAGTTAATGATGTGAGATTGTGGACTCAGACCTTTAGAATTAGAGACTGACGAATAGAGCTAATTATAAAATATCAGGCAACAATGGACTGTAAATGAGCCAGAGTTAGGGTGAGCTCAGACTTCGCTTGTGTTCAGTTCGTTCATCGAAATTTGTTCATATTTGAAATTGCTCGTGAACTGTGTTCTTGTTCCGCTCGATTTAAATAGCTATTTTTTTTATTTCGAGCTAAAACTAGCCGAACACCATCAAATAATGATTGTCCTTGTTCGGCTCGCTTATTTAAGAACGGTTCGAACACGAGCTATTTAAGGATGAGAACATGAGCTGTTCACGAACAACAAGCATTTTTGATAGCCATAAAATTTTTAATGAATGGGAAAAAAAAAAAGAAATGAAGGTGATGGGGCATAAATGAGAAGAAAGAGACGACTCAGTGAACGTGTGATTCCTATTGTCATGACTTGGATCCACACGTATCACTCAGTCCAGATTTTATTAACATTTTGCCTAAAAACAAATATTATATATTTTTTCAGAAGTGTAAGATTTATAGCACATGATTTATGCGATTCATCAAAAATGAACTAAATTTATTTTAATTTTAACTCATTCTTTGAACTAATTAGCATATTGAATTAGTTAATGATGTGAGATTGTGGACTCAGACCTTTAGAATTAGAGACTGACGAATAGAGCTAATTATAAAATATCAGGCAACAATGGACTGTAAATGAGCCAGAGTTAGGGTGAGCTCAGACTTCGCTTGTGTTCAGTTCGTTCATCGAAATTTGTTCATATTTGAAATTGCTCGTGAACTGTGTTCTTGTTCCGCTCGATTTAAATAGCTATTTTTTTTATTTCGAGCTAAAACTAGCCGAACACCATCAAATAATGATTGTCCTTGTTCGGCTCGCTTATTTAAGAACGGTTCGAACACGAGCTATTTAAGGATGAGAACATGAGCTGTTCACGAACAACAAGCATTTTTGATAGCCATAAAATTTTTAATGAATGAGAAAAAAAAAAAAAGAAATGAAGGTGATGGGGCATAAATGAGAAGAAAGAGACGACTCAGTGAACGTGTGATTCCTATTGTCATGACTTGGATCCACACGTATCACTCAGTCCAGATTTTATTAACATTTTGCCTAAAGAGACGTATCATAAATAATTCGGCTCGCATATATATATATATATATATATATATATATATGTAGTTGTAATTTTTATTTTCATGTTCTTTGTACTATCTTAAAAGGGGATATTGCATAAATAACATGTAATATTTACATATTTATAAAATTAACATTCATGGTATATCTACGCATAATATGATCAAATAATTGGGAACTTGTCCAATCCAAAAGAAAATAAAAATAATATTAAGTATTATTTTATAATATGAAATGAATGCCTTATTAGAATTTGCATATAGGTTGTGTGAATTTAAATATTTACAATAATGCATTTTTTATCTTTGCAGAAAAGCTCTTCGGGTATGGCTGTAAACAACAATTTCATGCCATATGGTGGTGGGTCGAGATTATGTGCGGGCTCGGAACTGGCTAAGCTTGAATTGGCCGTATTTTTGCACCATCTAGTGATCAAATTCCGATGGGAGTTGATCCAATCCGACTGTGCCTATGCCTTCCCTTTCGTCGATTTCCCGAAAGGGCTACCAATCAAAGTTCATGCCATAACATAGTATCACATTGTTAAACTAACATTAGGATGAGAGACAAGATTGGAGAGATGACTCTCTTGTACATATGAAGATGAGTGGATATTGATTTTTAAAGGCTTTCGCCATTTTGTAAGGAGAAAATATTATGCGCACGTGCGGTTTTGGGTTGTACGTGTCAAGTTCTCTTCGAGTATAACCTTGATACACTCCAAGTACACGCAGCCGCACTTACTATGAATGTAGTATTTTCTTTCTTTTGCAAAACGAAGCCAGCTATCTTTGCCCACATTGTAAAGCATTCCATCCATATTAACTTCGTTTCTTTGCTATTTGTATTTCGTTGAACCAGCAATTTCCATGAAATCACCTTTAAAAAAAAATTCAAATTTTATTTATTGAATCAAATAATAATAAAATAAAAATATATAAAAAATAAATTGTCATACGGTGAAATGTCATAAGGTATCTATGATATAAATTACAATTACATCTTGACATTAGTGAGTATAATTCTCATAATGTAGAATTCAATATGATATCAATTAAGGTTTTTAAAGCAAGGTTTATACTAAGAGAGGAACAAATCTATACATGAAATCACAAGTTACAAATTGCATATCTAATCAGCTATGCTACAAGCATAAATTAAGATGGATCTGATTCCATATCCTACTGCACGTAATCATGATGGGAAGAGTTATGGACAAATTAATTTATATAATTATTGTTTAATTTTTCATAGGGCTTGTATAATTTAAAAAATGAAAATGATGTAGAAATAACTAGCATACCTCAAGGCTAATATGTAGACAATCAAGAATTAGTTATAGCATTCATGTGGTAAAACATTGCATCAATATAATTAAGCTGTCATAAAAGCCTTTTGTTGGGAATAACTTATGTTCGACTTTTTAGGAAGCTCATATTATATTTAATTTTTTGAGCAAATCAGCTATTTCGAGCAGGGGCGGAACAAATTTATGCCCCCGCGGGGTGTGGGGTGTGGGTACCTCGCTACATCAAATAATAATAATAATAATAATATTTCTTTTCTTATCTAAAAATTTCGTGACTTTTTGTTGACTTGATGTCTGGCTGAGATATGGGAAGACTACCTCACTACAATTGTGTTCAGAACATTGACGTGCACGACCTTTTGAGACTGTAGTGAATGTTGCCCCCACATCAAAGAATGCTTCAGAAGTGCAAAGGAAGTTCCTTCGCCAGTAATATGATGTGAATCATTGAGAAACGAAGCAGTGGCTTGAAGTCGCAGACTTGAAGATTGTGTCAAACGGTACTTCTTTTCTCACATACGGTGCCGAACTGATGTGTGTTGAAAGATTCATGACAATGTAGTAATAATTTAGCATCTTAGTATTGGGTGAAGATCCAACACACACATATAATTAAGGTGACATATAGAGGCACAAGAAGCTTTTACGTGAACATTCCTGGAAAGAAATAAAAAGTTACAGGGCCTTGATCAATTGAAATAATACACTATATAATTATGAATATATAAGCCCACTCATTTCCTCAGTCAGGGAAGATAAAATTACAAAGTTGATGCACAACGATATTTTAACAACAATAATAGTAGCAGGTCGCAATCAATTGCCATGGGGCCATTAGTCCATTGCGATTGTTGTAGAAATGATTGTAGTGCGAGCTTATCATAGAAGTTGTACTTGAAAGCCATGGTTGCAATTGACCAATTGAGCCATAGATGATTGCCTTAGAAGCGTCATTTGACCACATAGGCAATAGTAAGGTGTTGCAATAACGTATGTAGGCTGCAGAGGTCGGAGTTGGGAGATGCATGAGTTCTGAACCACATAAGCCTTTATCACGTAGGCTGAACTTCAATAACCTTCGTAGGCTGTCGAGGTCGAAGTTGGGGGTTGCGTGAACTATGGCGAATGTAGGTCGTAGTTGGTTACGTTGACAGTGATGAGTTGCAATACATCCGTAGGCCATCAGTTGAAGTTGGGGGCAACATAAACTGTGGACCATATTGGCCGTAGTTGGTTATATAGATCGCAGTAGTGACCTTCAATAATGTATGTAGGCCACAAAATCTGGGGTTAGGAGCTACATGAGTTGGGGACCACATAGGTCTTGATAACATAGGTTGTAGTGGTGAGCTATAATAACATCCATAAGACGTAGAAACTGAAGTGAGCTGCATGAGGAAAGAACTTTAGTAGTCCAAAGAAGGCCATTGTATTCTGAGCACGACAATCGACATTAGTAAGTAATTATTATGTGATGCGTTGTTAAATCATTTTTGGGGTGTGTTGTTACATTTGTATGCAGGGGGAGTGTTGCATCATATTTTTCACTATCTTTGGGGTGCATTGTTAGACTGTTTTCGATGTGCTTTGCTCCTTAAGATACTTCGTTACTTCACAAGGTTGGTTGTCACTTCGCACGATGCTTTTTTACTCTGCAACATACATCATGAGTCTTTATGAGGATTTGATACACCAAGCTGTGGGACGTTGGTCGACAGTGGTTGACGAGCTGCAGTTGACAGTGGTCAACGGTTGCAGGAGTGGGGGCATTTTCAAGGCCTTTTGTATATAATGATAGACTTCAACTCCTTCTCCTCCAAGCTCCGATTTTCCGCAGACACATGGTCTAGGTCCTCATTTGTGAAGGGGGTAGAGCTGATCTATTTATAGAGTCTTGGAGATGCCTCCCTATAAATAAAAAAAGGACTCATTACCACTTCATATGCCAACTCAGAGAGGTTCCCTTGATCAGACAACATTCTGCGGATATTTGAGTGTCTTAAAATTGTCTAAAAATTGAGTGATCTTAGGCTCATTAGATTCTACTTGACCATCCAATTTGGCTCTAGAAACTTTAATAAATAGTTTAATGGTTTAATCTAGGTTTAATTTGACTTAGATTGAGTCAAAATTAGTGGCCAGTTAGTTTAACTGTAAGTTTATTGAAATAGAAGCTCTCAATAAATTTTAATCTGAATTTTATTATTTCGTATTAAAAAGGTTACTTGCCATCTCGGAGATACTGAATAATAAATATTTGTCGATCACTATGATATAAAATAACATATTTTCCACTTTCACAAATAGAGACTCTAATACAAAAGTTTCTAAGCCCAAAAATAACTTTAAATTTAAATATTTGAAGTTAGAGGAAAATTGGTCAGGCCTAATATATGTTCGAAATTTTATTTTTAAATGATTTTAACCCCTCTATCTTGCATGCTCCATAAATTAAAATCCTCTAAAAAATCAAGAATTATTGCACCAACATTAAACATTCGATTCTATTTAATTATGAATGCTTTATTTTTGCAATTCCTGCCAAGAGATCAAAGTTATAAACTTTAATATACAATAACTGTAAATAAAAAAACAATCTTTAAAATGGCTGAAAGCAGAAATAGGATTCGAATCAACTCCCAAGAATATCTGTAAAGCTTCAGAAATTTTTGGGGGAAGTTTCAGAATAAAGCGGAGAAGGAGCCGGAGGCTGTTGGAGAGAAAGAACGAATAAACTCAAATTCAAAAATTTGTTACTCCCCCGCCTTATGGCCACTTCAGTCCCCACCAATGGATCTATAAATAAACGGCATCTTCACCTCATTGCCCCATCGCTAACCCAAACAGTTCTCCGAAGCAAAAGAAGAAGATAAACCTCCAACCCATCCAATCCCTCCTCAATCACTTCTCTCCCTCAATCATGGCCAAGAACAAGAACAAGACCAAGAGGAGCGTCGCTGCAGAAACCTCTGAAAGTGCCAAAAAACCAACTTTGGAGATATTAAAAGCCCTCAACGCCAAACTTTTGAAGGAAGTCAAAGAGCACCGGCAAGAAACCCAGCAGCTCCGCCACCAGCTTGCCGCAGCCACAGAAAAGGCTGATCAAGCAGAAATGCGGCTGCTTGCCGCTGTTAAAGAGAAGGATGAAAAGACTGCAAAGCTGGATGAGCTAAAAGAAAAGGCTGAGTTTTTACTGCATGCTAAAAAGATCCCCGATTCCGAGCAAGGAAGAAGATGGAGAAAATGGCTTTACCCGGCAGCTGCTTTCTTAGCAGGAACAACCGTAGTGATTCTAGGTTGCAGAGCACTAGCATCAAGAATTAGTTTTATTTGTTCATAATTGTAATTGTAATGAATGAGAACCCGAGCGCAGTTCTAAAACTGATACTGAAAGGTCTAAGAAGTGCATTAAAGTGTATTTTTTCTTCTGTAATGGAAACTGATTTTTTAGGAGTTACGATTCTGTTTAATCTAAAAATTATGCTTAATACTTTTAAAAGTTAATTCTTAACTTTTGAAGGCAAATTTACAAACATACCAATCAATTCTTATGTTTTTACATATCTTACACCTAAAATTTGACATAAATTTATGTTTCAGAAGTTGTGTTGTAAGTAAACACATTAATATTTTACGCAGCATACAAATCTCAGAATATAATGACCTTTAAACTAATTAACTACCATATAAATGAGGAAACCATTACATTTAATTAAAAATGTAAGCGCCTCAGCCTTCAAAAATAAAAATATATCCTCTTTTTTCTGGGGGCTGAATTTATATGAGTTAAGTAAGATGTTGGAATGAATAAATCATTTAATCATTGGAGGAATTAAGCATTCCTTTATTAAATTCAAAAGTTACATTTTTGTGTATGATATTTCACTTTATTATCCAACTCATATAATGCGGAACACATTGTTTGAAAACAAAGTAAGAAATCCCAAGGTGACAAGTTTGTGCACTCATGACAAGTTTGTGCACTCACTTTTTCAGGATTGTGCATTAAGACACTCAATTTAATAACTCACATTATATTTGTTTGCCAAATTCTTTAGAAAATAGACACATTTTGACTTTTTGTTGATTTTATGCTTGAATGAGATTAACCCGCTACAATTGTGTCCGAGACGTTGACGTGAACTAGTTTTCGAAACTACAGTAAATATTGCTCCCACATCAAAGAATACTTTAGAGATGTAAAGGAGGTTCCTTTGCCAGTTGTATGATATGTTTCTTTGAGAAACGAAGCAGTGGCTTAAAGTCACAGACTTAAAGATTGTGTCAAACGAGACTTCTTGTCTCACAGACGGTGTCGAACTGATGTGTGCTAAAAGGTTCACGATGTAATAACAATTTAACATCTTATTATTTGGCGAAGATCCAACACACACTCAGGTAATGAAAGTGACATGTAGAGACACAAGAAGTTTTTACGTGAACATCCTTGGAAAGGAAAAAGTTACGGGGCTCAGCCCAGTTGAAATAATCCACTATATAATTATGAATATATGAGCCCACTCTTTTTCTTAGTTAGGAAAGATGAAATTACGAAATTGATGTACAATCATATTTCAATAATAATAATCGTAACGGGCCGCAAAGGCCGCAGTCAATTGCCATGGAGACATTAGTTCGCCGCAAATGGTGTAGGCAATGATTGTAGCCTCAGCTTATCATGGAGGTTGTAGTTGAAAGCCATGGTTGCAGTTAACCATGTGAGCCATAGGTGGTTGCTTTAGAAACATCAATTGACCACATAGGCAGTAGTAAGGTGTTGTAATAACGCCCGTTGGGTTCAGGGTCGGAGTTGGGAGATGCATGAGTTTTTGACCACATTGACCTTGGTCACGTAAGCCATAACGATGAACTGCAATAAATTTCGTAGGCCACCAAGGTCGGAGTTGGGGGTTCCATGAGCTATGAACCATGAAGGCCATAGTTGGTTACGTTGGTCGCACTGATAAATTGTAATACTTCCGTAGGCTACCAAAGTTGGAATTGAAAGCGACATAAGCTGTGAATCATGTAAGCCTTAGTTGGTCATATAAATCGCAGTGGTAGCCTGCAATAATATCCGTAGGCCACTGAAGTCAGAGTTAGGAGCTACATGAGTTGGGGACCACATAGGCAGTAGTGGTGAACTACAATAACATCCATAGAACATAAAGACCGGAGTTGAGAGTTGCATGAAGAGAGAACTTTACTAGTCCAGAGAAGACTATTGTATTCTGAGTACGTTGACATTAGTAAGTAGTTATTGTGTGGTGTGCTATTACATCGTTTTTGAGGTGTGTTGCTACATTTGTATATAGGGTGAGCCTTGCACCATATTCTTACACCATTTTCGGGGTGCATTGTTTGTTGTCCTCGGGGTGCGTTGCTCCGTAGGATTCTTCGCCACTCTACAAGGTTCGTCGTCACTCCGCATGGTGCATTATTACTCTGCAGTGTACGACATGAGTCTTTATGGGGCTTTGATACACTGAACAGAGAGAGGCCAACGTTAGTCGACAACGGCTAGCGAGCAGTCGTTGACGGTGGTCAGCGGTTGCAGGAGCAGGTGACATTTGCTAGACCTTTAGTGTATGATGCTAGACTTCAACTCCTTCTCCTCGAAGCTCCGATTTTCCCTTGGCACATGTTCTAGGTCCTTCTTTGTGAAGAGGGTAGAGCTGATCTTTTTATAGTGTCTTGGAGAGGCTCTCAGTAAATAAGAAAGTAATCCAGACCACTTTATGAGACAACTCGAAGAGGTTCATTTAACCAGACAATGTTCTACGGACATTTGAGTGTCTTAGAATTGAGTGATCATAAACTAGTTTGGTTTTGTTTGACAATCCAATTGGGCGCTAGAAGCTTTAATAAATGATTTAATGTTTGATCCTTGTTAGGCTCATCTTGTATGCCCTCTAATTTGACTATAAGTTTGTTGAAATTAGAGTTCTCAATAATTTTTAATTTGAATTTTAATATTTCTTATTTAAAAATTTAGCTCTATTTTTGCTTTCTTGGAGATCTACACATAATAATAATAATTTGTTGATCCCACACGATATAAAATAACAAAATTTCCCTTCTAACAAATACAATCTTTAATACAACAGTTTCTAAGCCCAAAAATAACTTTAAATTTAAAGATTAGAGGTTTGAGGAATATTGGTCAGGCCAAAATATATGTTCGATTTTTTTTTTTTTAAAGATTTTAAGAAAATCAAGAATTATTCCACCAACATGAAACATTCTATTCTGTTTTATGATGAATGGTTCATTTTTGCAATTCCTGACAAGAGATCAAAGTTATAAACTTTAATATGCAATAACTGTAAATAAAAATGAAATAAATCTTTAAAATGACTGAAAACAGAATATAGTAGAAGAAGCCGGAAGCAGTTGAACGATTAAACTCAAATTCAAAAATTTGTTATCCTCCCGCCGGAAGGCCACTCCAGTCCCCCACCAATGGGTCTATAAAGAAACGGCATCCTCCACCTCATTGCCACATCTCGAACCCAAACAGTTCTCTGAAGCAGAAGAAGAAGAAAAACCCCCCCAACCCAACCCCAACTGATACTGAAAGGTCTAAGAAGTGCATTAAAGTGTATTTTTTCTTCTGTAATGGAAACTGATTTTTTAGGAGTTACGATTCTGTTTAATCTAAAAATTATGCTTAATACTTTTAAAAGTTAATTCTTAACTTTTGAAGGCAAATTTACAAACATACCAATCAATTCTTATGTTTTTACATATCTTACACCTAAAATTTGACATAAATTTATGTTTCAGAAGTTGTGTTGTAAGTAAACACATTAATATTTTACGCAGCATACAAATCTCTTTATATAATGACCTTTAAACTAATTAACTACCATATAAATGAGGAAACCATTACATTTAATTAAAAATGTAAGCGCCTCAGCCTTCAAAAATAAAAATATATCCTCTTTTTTCTGGGGGCTGAATTTATATGAGTTAAGTAAGATGTTGGAATGAATAAATCATTTAATCATTGGAGGAATTAAGCATTCCTTTATTAAATTCAAAAGTTACATTTTTGTGTATGATATTTCACTTTATTATCCAACTCATATAATGCGGAACACATTGTTTGAAAACAAAGTAAGAAATCCCAAGGTGACAAGTTTGTGCACTCATGACAAGTTTGTGCACTCACTTTTTCAGGATTGTGCATTAAGACACTCAATTTAATAACTCACATTATATTTGTTTGCCAAATTCTTTAGAAAATAGACACATTTTGACTTTTTGTTGATTTTATGCTTGAATGAGATTAACCCGCTACAATTGTGTCCGAGACGTTGACGTGAACTAGTTTTCGAAACTACAGTAAATATTGCTCCCACATCAAAGAATACTTTAGAGATGTAAAGGAGGTTCCTTTGCCAGTTATATGATATGTTTCTTTGAGAAACGAAGCAGTGGCTTAAAGTCACAGACTTAAAGATTGTGTCAAACGAGACTTCTTGTCTCACAGACGGTGTCGAACTGATGTGTGCTAAAAGGTTCACGATGTAATAACAATTTAACATCTTATTATTTGGCGAAGATCCAACACACACTCAGGTAATGAAAGTGACATGTAGAGACACAAGAAGTTTTTACGTGAACATCCTTGGAAAGGAAAAAGTTACGGGGCTCAGCCCAGTTGAAATAATCCACTATATAATTATGAATATATGAGCCCACTCTTTTTCTTAGTTAGGAAAGATGAAATTACGAAATTGATGTGCAATCATATTTCAATAATAATAATCGTAACGGGCCGCAAAGGCCGCAGTCAATTGCCATGGAGACATTAGTTCGCCGCAAATGGTGTAGGCAATGATTGTAGCCTCAGCTTATCATGGAGGTTGTAGTTGAAAGCCATGGTTGCAGTTAACCATGTGAGCCATAGGTGGTTGCTTTAGAAACATCAATTGACCACATAGGCAGTAGTAAGGTGTTGTAATAACGCCCGTTGGGTTCAGGGCCGGAGTTGGGAGATGCATGAGTTTTTGACCACATTGACCTTGGTCACGTAAGCCATAACGATGAACTGCAATAAATTTCGTAGGCCACCAAGGTCGGAGTTGGGGGTTCCATGAGCTATGAACCATGAAGGCCATAGTTGGTTACGTTGGTCGCACTGATAAATTGTAATACTTCCGTAGGCTACCAAAGTTGGAATTGAAAGCGACATAAGCTGTGAATCATGTAAGCCTTAGTTGGTCATATAAATCGCAGTGGTAGCCTGCAATAATATCCGTAGGCCACTGAAGTCAGAGTTAGGAGCTACATGAGTTGGGGACCACATAGGCAGTAGTGGTGAACTACAATAACATCCATAGAACATAAAGACCGGAGTTGAGAGTTGCATGAAGAGAGAACTTTACTAGTCCAGAGAAGACTATTGTATTCTGAGTACGTTGACATTAGTAAGTAGTTATTGTGTGGTGTGCTATTACATCGTTTTTGAGGTGTGTTGCTACATTTGTATATAGGGTGAGCCTTGCACCATATTCTTACACCATTTTCGGGGTGCATTGTTTGTTGTCCTCGGGGTGCGTTGCTCCGTAGGATTCTTCGCCACTCTACAAGGTTCGTCGTCACTCCGCATGGTGCATTATTACTCTGCAGTGTACGACATGAGTCTTTATGGGGCTTTGATACACTGAACAGAGAGAGGCCAACGTTAGTCGACAACGGCTAGCGAGCAGTCGTTGACGGTGGTCAGCGGTTGCAGGAGCAGGTGACATTTGCTAGACCTTTAGTGTATGATGCTAGACTTCAACTCCTTCTCCTCGAAGCTCCGATTTTCCCTTGGCACATGTTCTAGGTCCTTCTTTGTGAAGAGGGTAGAGCTGATCTTTTTATAGTGTCTTGGAGAGGCTCTCAGTAAATAAGAAAGTAATCCAGACCACTTTATGAGACAACTCGAAGAGGTTCATTTAACCAGACAATGTTCTACGGACATTTGAGTGTCTTAGAATTGAGTGATCATAAACTAGTTTGGTTTTGTTTGACAATCCAATTGGGCGCTAGAAGCTTTAATAAATGATTTAATGTTTGATCCTTGTTAGGCTCATCTTGTATGCCCTCTAATTTGACTATAAGTTTGTTGAAATTAGAGTTCTCAATAATTTTTAATTTGAATTTTAATATTTCTTATTTAAAAATTTAGCTCTATTTTTGCTTTCTTGGAGATCTACACATAATAATAATAATTTGTTGATCCCACACGATATAAAATAACAAAATTTCCCTTCTAACAAATACAATCTTTAATACAACAGTTTCTAAGCCCAAAAATAACTTCAAATTTAAAGATTAGAGGTTTGAGGAATATTGGTCAGGCCAAAATATATGTTCGATTTTTTTTTTTTTAAAGATTTTAAGAAAATCAAGAATTATTCCACCAACATGAAACATTCTATTCTGTTTTATGATGAATGGTTCATTTTTGCAATTCCTGACAAGAGATCAAAGTTATAAACTTTAATATGCAATAACTGTAAATAAAAATGAAATAAATCTTTAAAATGACTGAAAACAGAATATAGTAGAAGAAGCCGGAAGCAGTTGAACGATTAAACTCAAATTCAAAAATTTGTTATCCTCCCGCCGGAAGGCCACTCCAGTCCCCCACCAATGGGTCTATAAAGAAACGGCATCCTCCACCTCATTGCCACATCTCGAACCCAAACAGTTCTCTGAAGCAGAAGAAGAAGAAAAACCCCCCCAACCCAACCCCTCCAATCCCTCCTCAATTACTTCTTTCCCTCACTCATGGCCAAGAACAAGAACAGGAACAAGAACGTCGCTGCAGAAACCTCAGAAAGTGTCAAAAAACCAACTTTCGAGAAATTAAAAGCCCTCAACGCCAAACTCCTGAAGGAAGTCGAAGAGCACCGGCAAGAAATCCAGCAGCTCCGGCAAGAAACCGAGCGGCTCCACCACCAGCTCGTCGTAGCCACAGAAAAAGCTGATCAAGCAGAAATGCAGCTGCTTGCCGCAGTTAAAGAGAAGCATGAGAAGACTGCAGAGCTTGCGGAGCTGAAAGAAAAGGCTGAGTTCTTACTGCATGCTAAGGAGATCCCCGGTTCAGAGCAAGGAAGAAGATGGAGAAAGTGGCTTTACCCGGCGGCAGCTTTCTTAGTAGGAACAACTGTAGTGATTTTAGGTTGTAGGAGCGCTAGCACTAAGAATTAGTTTTATTTGATCACAATTGTAACGAATGAGAACACGAGCACAGTTCTAAAACTGAAACTGAAAGATCTAAGAAGTGCATTAAACTGTATTTTTTCTTCTATAATGGAAACTAATTTTATTGGACTTTTGATTCTGCTTAATCTAAAAATTATGGTTATTACTTTTATAAGTTAATTCATAGCTTTTGAAGGCAATTTTACATACATTCAACACAATTCTTACGTATTTACATATCTTACACCAAAAATCTGATATTTATTTTTCTAACACTGGGATCATAAATTTATGTTTCAGAAGTATTTATATGTGTTAAGTAAGATGTTGGAATGAATCAAATAATTTAATCATAGAAGATATTAAGCTTTCCCTTATTAAATTCAAAAAATTGCATTTTTGTGTATGATATTACATTTTTTAATCCAACTAATATGACGTGCTCCAACCTGTAACACATTATTTGAAAACAAAGTAAGAAATCCCAAGGTGCCAAGTTTGGGCACTAACTTTTCTTGGACTGTACATTAATCTTGTTGTTGATGATGCAACAGACTCATGTATGAATCTTATTGAAAAGGGCATTGGTATTGGTATCGATAGCTGGTGTTGGCCTTATTCGTAACTACATGCATCTAAATGTGTCGATACTTGCAACGACAGATGTTAGTATTTAATATTGTTTAGTTGTAGTTTTTGACGGCCACGAGACAAGAGTCAATCAAGTGATGGTAGTCAAAGGATTATGGCCAGACATAAGAGGTCGTCGATTATTATTAGCATCAATCATTTAAGAGAGCTCTATCCAACTCAAGCTCCAAGTCCCTTTTATGTACATAATGAGAGTTTATTTAAAATTTTTAATAGTAACATTTTTGTCATTGTAACCAAAATCTCTGAAGATTATATCAGATGTTCTCTAATCTTCTTAATCATGAACTATTCTTTGGGCATTTAAGCATCTAGATCACATACTCGTTGAATTTCTCGTCTTTTTAACTGTAAACATAAAATTTAGCGATCAACTAGTCCTTCAAACAGTGTCAAGATATTTATAATGATACTTCAAGTGCCTGATTCAAACACATTTGCATTCGTTGCTTTTGACATATATAACATATTGTTTTGAACATGAATTTATTAAAAATATAGTTTAAATGACTATAAATTTAGTTTTAGAAATTTATGATTCAGATGTCAATATTCACTACAAGAATTTTTCATATTCGACGCAAATAATGGTTTGTGTCGGATTTATGTCAAAAAAATCTTAACGATAATTGGGTTTGCGTTGGAGTTTTATTTGTGCCTGAATTAGCGTCGAGAAAATTTGTCGCTGTGAATTTTTGTCAGCAAATCACTCAGTGCAATTTTAACTTCCAATTTGCATCCACCATGGTCGATGCAAATTAGCATCCACCAAGGTGGACGCAAATTTGTGTTGAACTACCTACAACAAGTCAACATGTCTAAAAAAAGATACCAAATTAAATTAAAAAAAAAAGTGTATTTAGGGGTTCAAAGTTTACAACTACAGAACTAAAAGTTCACTTAAACAAAAATGAAAACAACAATAAATCAGTCCCTATGGTGGGGGAACATCAACAAACACATAATAAAAATCCTAATTGTGCTCATCATCATCCTCCACATCCTCATCGATAACACTCATATGTCGCTTGTCCCGACCATCAAAACTCTCTGTCAAGTGTGATAGAACATTTTCAACCTTGGCCAGTCTTCACACATATGTCAGAGGTCTTCATTCTTCCTCTTGTTGAGCCTATAACGAGCTATGGCTACTCACAGTTGCATAAGAGCGCTCGACCTCAAATGTCATGCCCTTTGCATATATCACATATGTCAGAGGTCTTCATTCTTCCTCTTGTTGCGCCTATAACGAGCTATGGCTACTCACAGCTGCACGAGAGCGCTCGACCTCAAATGTTATGCCCTTTGCATATAGGCCCTTTGCATATATGTTGTACACCCTCCCCTTTTTCTTCCTCGTCGCTTGCGTCCACAGCTCAAAATTGGACCGAGCAGTGGTAGACTAACTACCACTGCTGCTGGCGCACGATGAGGTATGGCTAGTCATCTCCTTATATTTCTCCCGAAGCTGCTCGCACTCCTGCATAACAGAATTCAAATATTAGTTGTCATTTTAAATATTATTAGCCACAAAAAAAAGTACAACAAATTAAATTTTTGATTCTACCCCTATCATTCTTAACACAAGTCATATCTAGAACATCTAATCTACTTAACTGTGTGTATGTGTGTATGTGTGTATGTTGCTTGACATAAACTTATGTCAAATAACATAATAAATCATTCCTACTATGATGCATAAGCTAGAAAGCACCTATAGTAAATCAAATTATTTTTCAATATTTTCCATTTTGGCATGATCAAGACACCAATTAAAAACAACTTCTCCATCATAGTGCACACAATAAAAAACATTAACCAAAAAAAAAAGAAGCATAATTAGCATTGACATAACAAATCATAATTGATGCACAGAAAAAAATATTAACAAAGCTATATTTTTGATCTTACCAAAAAAAAAATCTAATTAAGATAGAATGTGTCATTCTAATTAAATTAAGAAATACTCACATACAAACCAATCAATTGTTATCTCCTTAAATATCTAACACTTGCATCCTCATCGATAACACTCATATGTCGCTTGTCCCAGCCAAAACTCTCTGTCAAGTGTGATAGAACATTTTCAACCTTGGCCAGTCTTCACACATATGTCAGAGGTCTTCATTCTTCCTCTTGTTGAGCCTATAACGAGCTATGGCTACTCACAGCTGCATAAGAGCGCTCGACCTCAAATGTCATGCCCTTTGCATATATGTTGTACACCCTCTCCTTTTTCTTCCTCGTCGCTTGCGTCCACAGCTCAAAATTGGACCGAGCAGCCACTGCTGCTGGCGCACGATGAGGTATGGCCAGTCATCTCCTTGTATTTCTCCCGAAGCTGCTCGCACTCCTGCATAACAGAATTCAAATATTAGTTGTCATTTTAAATATTATTAGCCACAAAAAAAAAATTACAAAAAATTAAATTGTTGAGTCAACCCCTATCATTCTTAACACAAGTCATATCTAGAACATCTAATCTACTTAACTGTGTGTATGTGTGTATGTGTGTATGTTGCTTGACATAAACTTATGTCAAATAACATAATAAATCATTCCTACTATGATGCATAAGCTAGAAAGCACCTATAGTAAATCAAATTATTTTTCAATATTTTCAATTTTAGACACCAATTAGAAAGAACTTATCCATCATAGTGCACACAATAAAAAACATTAACAAAAAAAAGCATAATTAGCATTGACATAACAAATCATAATTGATGCACAGAAAAAAGTATTAACAAAGCTATATTTTTTATGTTACCAAAAAAAATCTAATTAAGACAGAATGTGTCATTCTAATTAAATTAAGAAATATTGACATACAAACCAATCAATTGATATCTCCTTAAATATATAACACATAAACTTTAACTTTTACATTATGTCATCTAACACCAAAACTTAAACTTTTGCGTATATGTCATCTAACACCTAAACTTTTAACTTTTATGTATGTCATCTAACACCTAAACTTAACTTCTAAATATATCCCATCTTATGCATTATATATCTAACACCTAAACTTCAAATTTCGAATATTAAAAAAAAAGACTCACATAATAGCAACATCAAATATATACATTACAGATCTAATACTTAAACATGAGATATACAAAAAATGGAAACTTGAAAGCCCCAAATTTTAAGAAAGGAGGCTTGAGAGGAAAAAATAAAGAACTTATCAAAAGCTTGGAGGAGAGGAGGACACCTTGTCGGAGATGTGATTTAACACCTAGAAATGTTGCCAAAGTTGCTCAAAGTGGCCAAAGTTGCCGGATTTCGCTGGATTCACGGCCCCCTACGAGACACTAAGTAATTTCAGGTAAATTGAGCTTTGGTTGGCAGGGGAAGCCTTTTTAGGGCATTTGCATTAGACTTAACGTTAGGAATTTCTGACGCTATTAAGTAGATTAAAATAATAGCGTCGGACATTTCTGACGCTAAACAGATGCTAAATAAAAAAGGTATTCTTTATCGGATGTTTTTTTTCCCACATTTGGTTGCACTTGATGGCACTAGGACGTAAATTAGATGTAAGTTTTGAGTTAAAAAAATATCTGACCTAAATTCTGACGCTAATTAATAGTTTTTCTGTAGTATTGATAAATAGTTGAATTAATTTTCTGATGATGTATCAATAGTTAATGATCAACAAATGAAAATTCTTGCTCTTAATATGGAACATAAATTACAATGTGCAGACGACGATGTGAATTTGATCACACGGTTTCACATCATTGCATGGTGAACGTGGTCAAATCAGATCTCCGGATTACGCATGTAATATTTTTTGCATAATATGGAGGGCAGATTTAATACAAAGATTAAGATTTCTTTTTTTAAAAGTATGACCTTTTTTTTTTTTTTTGGCAAATTCAGCTTTCAGTGTGGGCTATCTATCAATATTCAAACGAAATGGAGCAAACTTCTACTGAAACATAGTTGGGAGTCATACTCCTGCATACCAAATTTTCTTCATTTTATTTTCATTTTACTTTTTTTTTTTAAGAAAACATGTGTTATTTGATGTTAAATTGATGCAATAAATAATTAAATAAGCTAATAAAAGAACACAGATTTTAGGCGGAAACCCAAGTTGGAAAAAGAACAATGGGCAGATGAGGAGAATTCACTAGATTAAATCTAAAATTAGAAGTGAAGAGCTTGGAACAAAATAAAATCAAAACAAGAAAAAGCGAGTATTCTGAACAAAACAAAATGAGTTATTTATAATCTTTAGCAATACCTTTTTTGATTCGTCATCAACAAAATTTCATCATACTACATGAATCTCGAGAGAAAGCACAGATTTCGAGGCAAGCTTTTGACGAAGGTAACACTCAAACTTCAATTAGAAGTCGTCCAGCGCTTTGATTTTAGCAACCTTACAGTCAAACTCACCAGCTCCACATGCTCATAATTTTCTAATAAGACAGATAAACAGGTCCCACAAAATTTTAGCCCCATATTTAGCAATATGCAAAGCAAATTCATACAATTGTGACCACCCCTTATCCTGTAAGCTAAAATTGCTCATAACAGTTGTTTAAGACAACTAAATAAATTAAATAAAAGCACAGTTTAGGTTTATCTCAACAGAACAATAAAGAGAAAAAACTGTAACATCCCAATTTAAAAATGATGAACATTAACATTTAACATATAATTCAAACAAAATCTTCAACAAAGAAGCACTAATCTATCCCATAAATTCAAGCTAAACTACCTGAGTTCAACTTATTTGCCATAGAATAACAAAATTGAAAAAAAAAAAAAAAACTCATCTTCTCCATCAGCTAACAAGCTCATACTCTCTGGTTCTAAGATCTAGCTCCGAAACCAAGCCAAGGAAATCTTTTACAGAAGGAGCTCCAACCACTCTTCGGCTTTGAATTCCCAATCTTCTGGATCTCCTTCCTCATCCTCACACACTCCTTTTCAAGCTCTGCGACGCGCTGCCTCACCTCATCAGTTCTGATCAGAGGCACATCATCCTTCTCCTCCTCCATGATTTCATTCTCACATATTCTCTCAGAGCTCTTTGGTATAATCAAGCTTCTATTGCTGCCATCAATGTTCTCCATATTTTCCGATACGAAGAACCACCCCGCAACCGAAGTTCTCAGGCGGAGCTGCTCGAAGAAGAGGACTTGGACGACGAATCGAAGCGGAAGCCTTTCGTTCTGTGCTGCATGAGTGCAAGCCTCCAGCGAAAGCTTCTGACAGTTCATGAGCCGACAGAGCTGCTCGCGTTCGGAATCCGTCAGCCATGGGTGAGCCTGCAATGCAGAGACACCATAAACTTTTACATTATCTAATTTTTGGCTAAAAGGATGTAATATATAGATACAATTTTATCGGTAAAAATGGAATTTTGGATGTGCCATGTATGTAAATCTTCCAAAGAGAAATTACTTCATTTAGTGAAAGAAACATTACCTTGAGAAATATATCAATAGCACGATACAAGCCATCATGTAAATTCCTGGCATATTCTGGAATTAAAGCCGCCAAAGATTGAAATTTGGGAAACTTCAGATTATGATCAGGAGCTACCTCTGCAAGGTACCCGTCCACAAGCTTCGCCACCTTCGTAATAGGGGCCGATGAAGTACTACTTTCCATCAACTGAGCTTCATCAACTATGGCGGGAGAACCTGCCAGCACAGTTGGGTTTATCGATACGAAATGATCAACCATTCTGTGAACAGAATCTATATCATAAAGGGTTTCAACAGAGTAGCCCAAGTTTGGCATGAGAAGATCCTCAAGAGAAGCTTCATCTAACTGTGCTCCAATTCTTCTTTCTAAATCCTCCCTACAGGCATTGTCTGCATGCAAAATCATGGCGGTTCGAAGCAAGTGAAGAAGAAAAGTTGTGGATATCAATCCCTTTTCACTGGGAAGCAGTCCAACTAACTCCTCCAAGACAGCTCTTTGCTCGCTTTCAGACAATGGAGATAGAGTTGGAGCATGATTAGCGCGGGTATTGCCATCTTGGAAGCTGGAATTTCGACTTAATCCTCGAAAATATTTCTTCAAATAGAATATGAGAGACCCTGCAATATTTTCTGGTTTCATGCCTTTAGATCCCATGGATACTATCAACCTTTTGTACAGAGCTAAACTAAGACAAGAGGACTCTTCATACCACCAATCTAACTCGGTTGCCTTCTTCTTCTCAGCTGAAGATATTCCATTCCATAAGGAGTTGCCATCTGAGCTCTTCACGGAAGATCGAGCCGATGTCGGCCAAACAAATGTATTTGGATCAGCACAAGCTTTTAATGCCAGTGAATTGATACATCGAGTTACGATATGCAGTTCTTCGGCGAGGGGAAGGAGATCCTCACAGCTCTTGAGAACTTTGATGGAGTCTTTCCAATCACCAAAAATTTCGATCAGAAAGTTTTCAGTTTTAGAAATGAGATTTCCTTCAAAATAGTCTTCAGTCATGCAGAGATACTCGGCAGCGCATCGAAGAGCGGCGACGTTGTAAGAATTTAACTCAATTTTGACATCATAACAAAACTTTGCAACAAGCTCAAATATTTTGGCGCCGGCAGGAAGATCGTGAAGCTGCAAACGGCAGACTTTTCCATTCTCATTACGATATTCACTGATCAGCTTTTTAAAAAGGCCGCTCCTATTGAGCATTGGAAACTGCAAGGGATTTGTGAGAGTTAAGAAGGAAAAAATGATAAAAAAGGAATAGTAAAAACAAATGTGATAAGTTTTAGGACAAATTTGAAATTATGACATCTGCATAAAATGTTCAAATCATCGAGAGCCCCCTGTAATTATGTTATTAGTTCTGGACTCCTAACTAAATTACTGCCAATATCAGATTTTCAGATGAATGGATTAGCTTAAGGGGGTGTTCGATAACACATTGTTAGTAGGATTTACGTCTGAATTTGTCTGGATTTAATGTAAATCCGGACAAACACAAAAAATAAGAGAGCTAAATCCGGCTTATGTTACTCTCCATTTCAATGATAATTTGAATTTAGTAAAAATCCGAATGAAAGGTGGATTTAACGGATTCAATGAGAACGAAAGACATATTACTTCGTCGCTTCCTTCGTCACCAAAAATGTCTACCGGATTTACCTGGATTTAAACATAACGTACCAAACATAATTCAAGATTTAAAAGCATTTGGATTTGATAAATCCAGATTTACCGGATTTACTAAATCCTATTTAACGCAAATCCTGGATGCAGCCCAACACTCCTTAAATGTGGAGGAATTAGGAAGGGAAAAGGATAGAGAAGAGTAAGATGGATAGAACTTATGCAAAAAAAAAAAAAAGCAGAAAAGATTCATCGGCTCAAACAACATTTGGTGAGAACTAATAAAGAATGGGGATTCAAAAATCAACTTCAAATAATTGAGATAAGACTAACAATGATGATGATCTACAAAACTCATTTGAGAACGAAAATCTTCATAAGGAACAGAAATACTTCTAAGTTTTTTTTTTTGGTTTACATCTAATGATGCTTTTTTGAAGCATGTTTACTTTGCTTCACTGTTAAAAAAGACTAGATCACAGAAAAAGAAAAATTATACAGCTATATCAAAAAGATATAAACATACCTTGTGAAGTTGAAACGAAAATTCTCCTATTTCAATGATAATATCACTTGGAAGTTCACTGTTACAAACCCTGGGAAAAAGCCATAATTAGTTGAGTGTGAAATAACACAAGAAAACTACTCAAAATTATGATTAGAATACATCTAATTATGATACTTATTCTACAAAATCATAAAATCATATATGAAAAATTGAACAACACTAGTTGGACACGACCACCGTATTCCTTTTTACACACTGGTTCCCTCTAAAAGAGGACTAATTACAAACGGATCATCCGCGCAAGAGGATTAAGTTGTATTTAGGGTGTATTTATGATATACTTATCCGAGTACACCCTAAATATGTACACCCAATCCGCACATACGTTTACCATATGTAATAATCTCTCCTCAAAGAGGAATGAAACTCCCAACCACCATTTTTTCTGATATTCACCCTAAATAATATTAATTTGAAATCCTTATTTCTGCTACATTAAATATGCTCCATGTATAGGATTGTAACCACATCTTATGGTTAATCCCAAGAGATTCATATCCATATAATGGAGCAAAGAGATCTTCAGAGTAAAGCATAGACTCAAACAATTAGCACTCAAATCATTCATAAATAAAATGTTGGTAGGCACAACTATCTCGCAGCAACAAGGTTAGAGGATTAGTTAGTGCATGATTCTTTGATGATAAAAAACAAAACTTCACAGTCTGCAACTTCATTAGATCATTGAGCTTTTCAATTCATTCAAGTAGATAACATGTGCAAGAGTTTAGTTTCAAATTTCATTTCTCTATTAAATGTTTATCAAACACCCACACAATTGCTTTAACGAAGAATAAGCATTCAATCCAAGTATATGAGAACATCAATGAAATCACAGAAAGTAAGCCACAAACCACCCTGAAATCTAAATCAACATATATAGCTTCTCCCATCACAATGAGAAGAAATCAAACATCAAAATAACAAAAAGGCAAAATGAAGAAAAGCCAAAAGCAGCAGAATATACTCACCATGTATGGCCATCGAGATGAAAAGCATCGGCTTTGGAGCCCAGCTTTATCGTGGCCATCTTCTTCGTATCTTTTTATAAAGAACAACCCTTCGAAATTAATAAGATCCTGATGCGAACATATCTCTCGATGAAAAGATTTGAACTTTTGCTGCGTCCAGCCGGGGATGAAGAAAAGCCGCCGGAGATTGCCGGTTGGATCCAGGAACGCCGAGCGGGGATGAAGAAAAGCCGCCGGAGATTGCCGGTTGCATCCAGGAACGCCGAGGGAGGAGGAGGAGGAGGAGGGCAACGGAGTCAATGCAGGAGGCCTATGCGGCTGCTGTGGATTTCAGCGAATGGGTGGTGGATCGGTCTGTTTAGGGGGGCCGAAAAACTTGAGGAATGCGAGAATGGCGGAGAGGTAGCGGGAAGCCGTTGCGGAGAAGGGCATCGCGTTCTCTCCGGCTCATCACAGGGAAAAATCAGGTTTTGAATATTTTGGTCCAAAATAAAAATATAGCTATATTTACAGTCAAAATTTATGTCATATTAATGTCAATTTACATACAATGTAACAATGTAATCTTGATCAAACGGATGCCAACGTATCCTCATGCATTTGATGTCAATTTACCAATTTATCACCCAATTCCTATGTATTTACATTTCTAGCGTTTCCATTTTATTTTTTACATTTATAACATCAAATTCTTTCATTGGAATAATGAAACTGTACCGTCTTTGTATTACACAATTAAATTGGGAGCACAGCTCATAGCAGACATTGAGTTTTTCTATGTCAAAATCCATGGTGAGTGAAAATCACAAGGTTGGATTAAATTAATTACTAATACTACTCATAACTTAAAATTAGCATCCTTACTTATATTAGGAGAAGGCTTTGATATAAGTTTGTAGATGTGAAATGTGAAAGATAGCTTTCTTGATGTAAGTACATTTGACATTTCTGTTTTAGTTCTTTTTGTAATTTTTGGAGTCGTTAGCTCGTCTAATCATCGTCGTATGGCTCATCTCTTGAATCATGAAGATGATTCAAAGAACAGAGAAGCTTGAAAGAAAAAAAAAACGATGAAAATTGAAAAACAGTTAAAAAACGAGTGGAGAACTGTCAAAGGTAACCTTCGCGCAATATCTCAAAAGTGTATACCCTAAACGAGATCGGATCGAAAGTATATTGAAAAAATATATGTGAAGAAAACCCAATGAAATCAACCCACAACCAGGTAATCAAATTTTTGTGATTGTCTCGATAATTAAATTATTTAAAAATACTACTCATCAATATATTTATATATATTTCGCGCCCAATAGAACCGAACACGAACAAACAAATCTTTTTTCGTGTTCGGCTTGTTTATATATCGAGTGCAAAAATATTGTTTGTATTTGACCCATTTACTTAGAGAGTGAATCGAACACGAGCTTCGTAACGAGCCGAACATGAAATGTTTGCGAACAACAAGCCATTTTGAGAGCCCTAAGCGTAGCTCCCAAAGGAATGTATTTCTTTGGTTAATTACATCTTGGGGGATACTCAATAAGGCTCTCGATATGAAGGGTGTTGCTTACATTATTTATGATATCCAGTTAATTAGGAAATCAAAAGGTTTTTTTTTTATTATCTCAAGCAGGAGAATCTCACGCAGGACAACGCCTAGGCATGCAGGGCCCACGAGTTGACATTAACTATTTTTCAAATGAATTGATAAGGCTCAAAAGAGGTGTTAAAAGAAAGGGGAGTAATTTCTAAGCAGGTAGAGGTAGTCAAGTCAGCACAACATGGATCTGTCATCCCAACCCAACCAGAGACTTCCTTATTAGCAATCCAAGAATTGGGTTGCTCAAGGGAATACAGGTAGATCTAAAGCCAGAGGAAAGAAACCTCTAATTTCTTATGACTAAACGTGGGAGTTATACTCGTCAATTAAATGACGAATATGATGTTGGGAAAGAAAGAAGAGACATTCAACTACAAAGCTGAAAAACACTCTCACAAAAAACTTATTCCCCGTCTGGGTGGGGGAAGTCTCTAACACTCTAATTGTGCTAGATAACCTTCTAAGTAAAACTCTTATGCTTTGCTTAGTAGATTGAAAGAGCATAGGGGCTTCTCCTCGAAATATGCAAAATGATGCAGTTATTTGCAATTAAATTTAGATGTGAAGACCCTATTAGGTATGATTGAGTAACTTCTATGCTATGCAAACCATTTTACAATCAGCCAAAGATCATAAAGGAAAGTAAATTACTCATTTTAAAGTTGGAATATTTTAATCCTAAATTTTGATTTATCTTGACTTGTGTCGGCGTCAATTTTGATGTGTATAGGTTGTCTATTCGAATGATCTTAGGGTGTGCTTCACTCACATATGACTCCCCAAGGCCCAAGACATTCATCTTCTATCCTCTGGCACATGGCCAAGAATGTTTTGTTAGGCCTTGACTGTCGATGGGGCGAGGGTCGGTCGTCATTATATTGATGGGATGGCTCTTACTGAACGAGTTTTGTTCGACACAACATGAAGAAATTAGGCCTTAAATTGGCTTACTCGTGAGTAATTATCCATTAGTTGACTCTGGATGGGGAATAGACATCGCGAATGCGTCCATAACATCATTTTTGTTTAAGGAGGGCCTTCTAGTTCTTGCCACGTGGCCTTAATTACCAGAAAACATGAAACAACCCCAAGTATGCTAGGCATGACCCCACCCACATGGGTGTGACCACACACAGAAGTGGCCACGCCCTATTTGTGACTTGGCCGTGCCACACATTCAGCCTGTATTGATTCATTTCATTATATGGTCCTCATTTTTTTTGTTTGAACGCCTTTTGATTGACGGGATAAGCGATTGGACCGGCCCTAAGTCAAAAATTTCCTCTGAGCTAACTTGGGCGCTTCCCACAAGAGGCAAGTGGTCATTCAAACCTCTGTGAATATCCTTCCTATGGGGGGAGATCTGGGGGCATTGCGCTCATTTTATGTGGGGAGCTGAGAGCCAAGAGAGATCATAGAGAGATAGGGGAGAGTTTTGGAGATTTCTTGGAGAACTTCTTCACCTTTCTTCCTTTTTCCACCTCTCACGTTTTCTTTCTCGATTACCTTCCTGATCCGAGAAACTGAGGGGAGAGACAAAGAGCTTAAGGAGTGATCATAGGGGTGCTTGAAGAGTTTCAGAGAGTTAGCTTCTCAAATTTTCTTCTTCATCCACCTTCTCGCCTC